AATGATACCAACTTAAAAATTCCATTTGTTTTCCACCTGAGCGGCTCGGGTAACGAGGATGAACCTTCTCCACGAGGGAGGACCTGGGCTTTGTGTTTGTGAGTTTCAAAGTTGTGAACTAGAATTTGCATCCAGGTCAACGAGTGCCGCTGAAAGTGCTGCGTGACTTCTCTCTCAGCAGGCCGTGGTTTGTACATGGTTTACACATAAATGGCCTAAAATAAAAAAAGAAAAAGAAAAGAAAAGCATGTCAAAGACTATTCTGGTTTAACGAGAGAGGAGGGAAAATCATCAAAGCCACAGTCAGACATGCAGAGGAACTGAGTGCTTGTTTACTTGTGTTGCTATTTTCCTACTTCGACTCCTCTCCTGGGCGCATCATAATTGCAGCATTATCTTATCTATTGAATTAAATATTACATAACCGGACATTTGTGATTTAATACAAAAGTCTATCTCATAAGTCATGAACAGACTCCTGGCAGTCAGTGTTGTCGGTCTGTGTCACCAAATACCTAACAGTAGCCTTTTAAGTTAGATATAAAAGCAAAAGCCGATGGCCCGGTCAGCCACCAGTTGTGTTTTTTCATTCTTTGTCGCTGCGTTCAGGCACAAATACCGACCAAGTAGCCAAATCAGTCATCAGCGAAGCAGATGTTTCCGTGAGAGGCACACAGTAACGTGACATTTGCTGTTTCAGCGTGCGACTGCTCAGTAATTTAACACCGATGGCAGCGGCGCAGGTCGGTGGAAAACATCTCTGACTCTGCATGCAAAGGAAAAGTACAGTACAAGCCAATAAACACACACAGAGGGCCAGCAGAGGATAAATGGACAGATAAGGATCTGTTGTGACATCAAGAGTAAAATGGGATTTCGTAAATTATAGCGTTTAAGGCAGGAAATTTATTTACAGGAAATAAACGCCTGCGTCAGTTCTAAGTTTTTCTCCCAGCTACAAATCATGCTTTATGAATTCTACCCACAACCTTCATAACGGTTTTGGGACACTCTGAATTCTGCGGCAGCTTTTTACTCACCGGTAGCAAAATGCACAGTGTTTTACTATATAGCATATAGCCAGACAGGTCCATAAATTCCACTGATAAAGAAATGGGTCACAGTCCACACCTTCATCTTGTTTTGTTGCCTTGTCTACACGAACAAAAGCACGATTTTAAAATAAGGTAAATACAACCTGGTACAAAACAAGTTGCAGATACGTTATTCTTTTAATCTACTGTGAGTTCTTTGTTTTATAGTTTTTGATGCTGAACATACCAGAGGCCTTTCATTGAAACATCATTTGAGTAGAACATAAATATGCAGCAGATTAGGCAAATCCAGGCTCCGAAGTCTCCAATGAATCGCTAAGCCATTTCAGTTTTCTTCTTTCAAAATCCATATTTTAAGGTAAATTTCTCAACAAGAGCTTAATGCAGCTGTATGTGGTATTGGATACATTTCGGATTAGTGCGACAAAAGAATGTGTTCTCCGATTTTCACTTTTCAGAGCTTAACGTCTCCGTAGTTATTCCGCGCTTTTCTCTGTGCGTAATATGTCATATTACCAGCAGCTTATCCACCTTTTAACAGACACAATGGATTTCCTGTTCTAACAACAACAGCTACTCAGTAACCACATGTCACTGGGTCAGGTCAGGCAAACACAACTTGGCAGGCTTGGCCCAGTTTGTGGGGACACGTTTGGATACAGGTTAATTTGTATCATGGTTGAGATAAAAGCAGGTCATTTTGATGTCAACAGTGTCCACATGTGTAGCCGTTTTGAAGCTCTGTCTTCTTGTCCCATTTACAGATTGTAGTTTTGAAATAATTGAAATTCTCTGGGAAAAATGAAGAGTTTGAGGTTAAAAGACTGATTTGATATTGATGCAGTTTAAAATATATTCCCATGAACAGACCTGGTGAAGAATTCTAACTATGAAATAGAATTTTTTTGTGGAAACTCCATATTACAGGGAAATGACTAGAGTTTTTATATACTGTATCTTCCCCATAGACTGTATAAGGAAGGTTGGACGTCACCTGTTGGTTTCTGCACCAAGAAAATGAAGCCAGGGCTTTGCGACTTCCTGGTTGACATCTTGGATTTTTGGAGCCAGAGATGAAAACAAGGGCGGAGCTGGAGAGCAGTGATTGGTCAGACTGACTGAGAGCCGAGGACTCTCTGTCCGTCCACATTTACCTGCTGCTGTTGTGTTTACCGACGCTATTTCTAACAATGTTAGCCTCCAAAAGTGGAGCTAAACTCTACAGGTAGTGTTAAAGTCGTCTTAGTAACTGGTTGTTTTCACGTCCACAACAGTGACCTGCGTTACTGAAGTTACTGTAAGTTAACATCAGACTGTGGAGCCTCTGATGGTGAAACAGGATCTAACATCTTGTTTTTAAGTTAAAGTAAATCCCAGGTTAGGTTTCCTGACTAGTTAACACTGATGCTTCATCAGATTTGTCAGTGTCATAAATGAGTTACCTGTTGTCTGTGACTAACTTCCTATAGGTCACATCTGATCAATCATAACGGATCAATAACGTTATTACAGTCTGTTATCTGCTGCCGTCTCATGGCAGACAGCTAGAAGCTAAACCAAGCTAACGTTACACCACAGAATTCTGATGAATGTTAATCTCTCAGTTCAATGAATAAAGCTCAGTTCATGTCTCTGTTCTCTGGTTTTTAACAGCTTCTGTCCATTTCACTGAGAAACAGTGAAGCTACTGAGGTCTGATCACCATGACATGAGCATCACACTGAACCTCAGGTCAGTCATAGTTACTTTCTGTTATCTAAAGTCAATCGGTCCAGCAGACTGTTTTCTCTACAGCAGTGTTTTATCAGATAACCGAGGAGCTCATGTAATCAGAGGGCTGTTTTCCTTTTTCTCTGTTAATCACATTATCATACTTTGGAATAAAAACAACAACCTTTATTGTTCTTCTAAGGCAGTGAAATGTTCTTTGGCTTCATCCAGGGAAACAAACATTTCCTTAAGATTAAAAAACATGTTAAAAACATCACACTTTCTATTGTGCAACAGTCACATCCTGCTGTGTTCATGCTCATATTTAATGTTCCAGCTGTTGGAATGAACGAACCTTTTTCTTACTGTTTGTGTCTTTTCCTTCCAGCCATGATGTGGATCATTGGGAACATTTACATCTGATGTGCTCTATAAGCTACACAGAACATGAACATTTAGCTGAAGTTGTCTGAGGTGAAGAGTCTTCTCTCCTTCTTCATCCCTGTGAGGAAGAGCAGCACTGATGTCGTCCCCATCCGGTACAGTAATAACAGTAATGTTGCAGATTCAGCTCCTTCTTTTCATAAAGCACACTTATCTTGTGACTGTCAAGTATTTACACTCCACTGTAAGCTGGGCAACACATTTATTTCATCAATTTATTTCATACTTTGACTCATCTTTCACAGTTGTTAAATAATGTTTTTAAATGTGCAATAAGGGCTGCAAGGTAAGCTAGAAGGTGAACTAGAAGGTGTCCGGTTTGCGTGCCGGTGAGGACACCCGGCACCAATAAAACCAAACGAGGATGACACCTGAGTTTATGGTGAATGAGGCTCCCTATGACCTGTCAATCATTCTAGAGCTGACTGTCAATCAAACAGCCACGCCCCCCATATGACCGAAACTTTGACGATTTATATAAAACTCAGTATTGAATTATTTTCAGATTGGCCACCTGATCTCTGGGTTTGACCATGAAAACTAATGAAAAAAAACCGTCCTGAGCTGTATTAAAGCTGTCTTTCATGATTTGTGTTATCCTGTTTAGAACCGGGCTACATGGTTGGAGCCAGCACCTGTTTTGCTGTAGTGCTACTGCAAGTTTATGACACTTCCAGGTTTACTTTTCAGGGCCGGTTGCTACGTCCAATCTTCCTTATACAGTCTATGATCTTCCCATATACACGTTTAAGGTGGTGTTCTTATGTGATGCTACTTATTTTGTTTTTTTGTTTTTAACCTGCAGCTGTACAAGATTTCTGCATGGCTGACGAATAACAAATCACAGCACTCTTTCTCACGTGTCTCTCCCTCCCTGCTGTCATCAGTGTCCTTGGAGTTAAAGCAGTGGTGCCTGAGAGCGAACAAAAAAAAAACTGATTTAAAAAAAAGAGAGAGAGAAAGAGTGAAGTGTTCTCACGCAGAAGAACATGGACAGACAGGAGGCTTCAGAGAGGTAAGTCAGACTAATCAATAACTTTTCTACTTTTAACTTGTACTTCCAAACTTTATAATCACAGTCCGGTGGTGCCTGTCAGTTCTAATCAGCGCAGAGAGCCTCTTTCTCCCACCGGCTGCCGAGACAACTTTCCAGCTCTCTTCCAATGATGGGTTGACCTTTCAGTGTACAACACACATGGGAGAAGTGAGGAGGAAAGTCACGGTAAGTACACCAAACAGCCTTAACAAAACCAGTCTGTTTGAATTAAAAGGACTTCCACGTGGTTTTATTATGCTAAATATTCCCTTCAGTTATCTAACGGTAAATCTGCCTCTTTAAACAAAAGGTCCAATCCTCTGAATGTAGTCTCTCTCAGTTTACTGGGGTTAGTTCCCTCCTACAATCGCTTCACCAAAAGGTTATGACCTTAGCTGACATGATTTGTAACTCGTTTAACTGAACAAAGAGGGCTTCCTCTTTTCTGATATGTCCTATGAGGACTGTTTGATTCCTGAAGAAGAAGTAAAGATTCTACCAACTGTTCTTCAGATTTATTTTGAGACCTTTTAAGGAGGTACCAACCTTCAGTGGGAACATTTGGCACAGTGGTTCCTTCAGCCTAATACCCGACAGAAAGCATCGGTTCACCCAAACATAGTACGTCCTTTAATAATTTAACACGCTACAATTATCGTATTATGATTTCTGGTTTCAGTGGCGTTCTGCTTGTTCTACTCTCGAGTGCTCGGAGAAGACCGCAAAACTGTAACAGATGCTCCACAACGTCAGGGTGTTTTTAAAAAAAACAACTTTATTAATACTTTCTCTTCTGTTAAAAGCAGAATATATATATAAAAAGGATTTAATTCTAAGAGTTATTTTACAGAGCATAGTGGCATTTGCTTCAGAAAACAGAAACAAATCGCTACTTGTACGATGTGAAAATTAAAAGTCCTTCCCCTGCAGTGACTGAGCATAACTGTGTCAGCATTAAACAAACAATGTTTTCCTTTTCTTAACAGGAAAAAAAAAAAGTCTGTGGAAAGTTTGTAATAATAATAAACACGTGTTGCTGCTACATTAAGGCCAAAACCCCCTACAGACATGTGGAAAACTTCCTTGGTAAAGTGACAATATCGCTGTTTTTAAAAATTTAAATACAGTCTTTGAAATTAAATAAAAAAACAAAAAGCTTGGCAAAAAAAACCCAAAAAAAAACAAAAGCAAGCAAGTATTGCACGTACAGATCTCCTAGTACCCTTTAAAATATCAAAAAGAGCTCACTAGTACACCCCAGAGAAGAAATTTATAGCTGGGGTTTTCAGAGGAAGCAGCTGCTGTTGGACAGATTCCTATTTTTGCAGAGAATTGTGGTTCTTTGTTTACTAGGAGTCTTTTAGTCCTCTTAATATCTGCTTTTCTGTTTGGATGGAGATGAACGTGTGAGAGCGGAGCAGTCTATGAAACCAGGCCTGTTGTTTTGGAAATGGCAGTTAATCATCAAGACCTTGTTTTGAGGTGAGAGGTTGAAGGAGTGTCAGCGAGATACAGTTCAGATGGACTAAAAGACCCCCCAAGACTCTAGTTTGACTCCGAGATCAGAATAAGACCATGGTAGTCTTCCTTTTGAGTCCAATTAGTACATCGAGGAGCAGGACTGCTTAGCCTCTGAACACCCCATCATTGGCATGGAAAACATGGAACATGAAAAACAATATAATATTAAAAAAAATAATGCATTTCACTCCATTACACCATGAAATTCAGTTCTCAAATCAAAACACAACTTTTAAAAAGTTTTAAAAATGAAAAAAAAAACAAAAAAAGACTCAATCAATATGCACAGTGTTCAGCTATTCTAAAACACATAGGTTCGTCATATGGATCGGGTTCTGGGGCTAGGAGCCTGATATGGAGCAAACAACCAAAAAAAAAAAGAAGCTCAAAAGCAAAATTCTGTATCAGATCAACTGATGCAATAACTTAATTAACAAGGACAATAAGAGCCTAATCTAAAAATCACGATGTGGTGGGTGTTTAAAACAAAGACGACTTGGACAGAATGATACACAAACCAACAACAACAACACTAAGAAACCAAATCAGACAAACTGACAGTCCAAAAGTGAAATAACAATAAAAACACACCAAAGCTGAGTGTGCCGGTCTTTGATTATGCTCAGGAGTTTCTATATGTTTGGTAGTTGGTGAAGTCCAGGCAGGAAAAACGCATGAAATCTGGCTGGTATAGCTTCAAAGTGTTCATAGTGGAGTTTGGTAGGTTGACTGGAGCCGTCTTTATGTGTGGTAGAGCTTGTGTTCATACTCGGTGGTGGAGCAGGTGTGAGGAGACGCCATGTCTCTGTGGATGGGTGCAGGAATGCTGCTGCGGTGCTGGTGGTTGCTGGTCAGCGTCAGGCTCAGCAGGCTGGTGCAGGTCGGCAGGTAGACGTGCTGCACGTGTTCCACCTCGGACCGACACACGGGACACAGCTGAGGGCATAGAGAGAAACAGTGTTTAGCACAGAGTCCTAGGTTGGACAAAAAATGTGACACTTTTCCTGGAAAATGTGAGCCTAAGAATTTTGTCATGGCTTCATCAATGATTTGTAGCCTCGCTAATGTTGGATTTCTGATCAGTTATGCACTCTATCGTCCAACACAGTAATAAAATAGATAACAAGAAGTATTATTACGTGTCCGAACGGCTAACTAGCTGACTTTTGGTTACGCTAATAACATTATGCTATGTTAGCTTGCTGTAGCAGTAGCTAGCTAGCAGCTCGAATTCTTCTGACCATCTGATAAACAAAAGCTTGAGCAAATGAAATCCCAAATTACTAATTTACAGTAACATCCCTGCTGATTACTACAGACTTTTCAAAACTTCTTTAAAGTTAGACCTTTTTTCAAGTCTTGGCCTATTAACTGTCAATTGACAATAAATTGTAAAATGGGGAGTTGACACACTTGTTTGGGTTGGATGCATACACTATATATAAAAGATAGACATGGCTAGCGTCATTTGCAGACTACCATTTTAAAGCCTTATGTTTGCCATTTAGCCCTTATCTTGGTCTTTAAGGTGCGACAAGCAAAAAGTGGATCTCCATTCAAGGACATGATACACGTCCATTCAAAAGTGACTGATCAATCACTGGGTAACCTCGTCTTAAAAGGTAGAGTCTGGCTTATTTTTTTAATTTTATTTTGAAATTTACATCTTTCTGTACCAAAGGATACTGAAACTGAGTTGTTGAGACCATAAACTCGTCAGGAAAAGTTCTACCGAGGTCACCAAACAAGCGAGAAGCAGAATCATTTACAATCTGGCTTCTTTTTGAACCAACAGGAATCACTCAGACAGCCGAGGGGGTCTACGACACCACTTATAACGCAGTCTGAGATCTCTTCTAGAACATTTCACCACCATTAACACCTTGAGTCATCCCCCGACTTTAAGGCATGTGAGAGTTGAGTCATTCGTGGCCCATTAGCCGTGTGATTTGGGGGTGATAGTATACATCTGAGAGTCCTCATCAGTCAGAACTGAAGTAGCCTCTTGGACAAGGTGTGAAACATCAAGAAACAAGAAACGAAGCCCATGTACTTTCTACTGACGCACTCATTCCCATGAACTGAATTACTGAGAATCTACATGGACGACATCTCGCTTTCTGAAATGATAACCAAGCTCACAAATGCATCAGCCTTGTACTGCATGACAAGTTGAGTTATCATATATAATACAATAATGATTCCCAAAGGCTCACACCTGGATGTGCTACAATCACACAGTTAACAGTATCTAGACGGGACATAAAAGCAGGAGGCATCTAAGCCAGTGAAGATGAACTGCACGTTAAGACAATATAACATCCTACAACACTGAGAGTCGCACAGAATGTCTTGTTTAGGCAACTTTAACGCCGTTATATCTCACATCAGTATTAAAATAGACCTTGTGACAAATATCTTTTACAAAAGTCGATCAGATTATGGGAACAGTTTTCACATTGTTTTTTGTCTTTCTGAAAGCAGCGAGCTTTCTTTCCTTTTCTCAAGTTTCTACTGACTCATTCGCACGTCTATTAGCTGGGTCACGTTTCCTAGTTGAGTTAATGGAAGGGAGATTTGCCTGGCTGCCATAATCCCTTCATAAGACAAACTCACTCACACACACACACACACACACACCATCTGCTTCCGCAAGATGGGCAACATTTAGCTGATTAAGTGTGGGGACAATCAGGTCAGTAGAGTGTAAGCAAGGCTTTGGACGTTGTTTAAAGGACCATAAAAGGATAGGAAGTTGGAACTAAAGTGTAATTAAAGAGCTTTCGGTAAAACTGCAGACTCAAAGTAAGATGAGGTTCTTTTGAGTTGAGGACCAAACAAAACAAAACTTTGATTTTCAGGCTTCTGACTTGCTGTCTAATTCATCTTTATGAAGTACTGGTTATAGGGTAGTGCTGACCTCAGCATTTGCACAACAGTATACATGACTTTGCAAATGCTAACCATGCTAATGAAAAGCCCACCTGCTGTGGCTCATAAACAAACTCATTTGTCTTCCATGGATAATTCTGTGGAGAAGAGTCTCACCTGAAGCTGACTCGCGCAGGTCTGGCAGCACACCATATGGCCGCATGGGCAGAACGCAGCATCTATCTCCTCCTCGCAGCACAGCATGCACAACAGAGCCTCCCTGAGCTTCTGCAGCCGCTCCTGCAGGGCCCGGCTCTGCTGGCAGCTGCCACAGTCCAGCCCCTCGTCCTGCTGCTCGTCCCTGCTTGGGGAGCGTGAAGGAGAGGAGCGCTCGCCGCTTTCCGAGCGGGACACCAGGTCCACGACGCCGGAGTTGTAGAGCGCGCGGCGAGCGTGGTCGTACACTTCCTTGGAGGTGCGTCGGATGTCGAAAACGTATTTCTTGCCCAGGTTGATGTTTTCGTTGAGGAAGAGTGAAGCTAGGTGGCCTTTAAAGTCTCTGCTGTACTGCATCATCACTGCGTTGGTAACTGTGTCGCACCTGGAAAGGAAAAGGAGATTAGACTTGACTACCAATGTCAATAAAAATAGAGCAAACTGTCCAATATTGATCTAAACATGTGTGTAAATAATGATTTCTGTAGTAACGCTGCTCTGGGCACGTCTGTGTTTATTTATATTCCCTTTGCACTGTGTATTCAGAGAACCCTTAAAGTTCATCGTGCTCTGATGCCACAGTCACCACTGTAAGATAAACACTTGCTTCGGAGCGAGCACGATGAAGACATGGCTGCTACAAAAATCTGCAGACTCTGAGCTAAAACCCATCCCTGAAACAAAAGCGACAGGGCCGTCTTTTGTACCTTTGTACTATTGTGATTGAGAACAATTTCATAGCTCAGCCATTTGAATTGTCCCTGCTCACAGCGATTTTTTTTTTTTTTTGAGTGCGAACACATATTGTCTATGGGAAAAGAAAATGCCTTTTTAACCCAATAAAAGATTGTCCTGAGCAATCTGTATGTCCATCAACACTCATTCAGGTCAAGGACATGTTTGTTTATTATTGTCTGTGCCACATCACGTGTGTTTTTAATATAAAAATGCCTATAAAAGGGACAGATGAACACTTGGTTAATGTGTAGCCTCTGTCAGCACCAAACACTAAATAGAGCAGAATGTGTTTTTACAGAACACATTTCAGGTCACGTTGTCCTCCACCTCTCTCATAAGCTACTAGTGTTAAGGGAAGGACAGTGAACGATAAACTGCATTACATGACTACAACAAGCTCCAGAGGTTGGGAAACACATTCTGAGCCAGGTCAGATTGATGAATGACTAGAAGACCGGGTTTTTCCTGGAAAGAAGACTCCTGCATAGAGATTTTTTTTTTACCAGGGCCAAAGGAAAATCACGCAATCAAAAAATAACAGAGAAGAAAAAAAAGCTTTCAATTTGTTTTGTTAATTTGGGGTTTTATTTACTGAAGCTTTTATTTATCAGACAGTCAGAATTAACAGGAAAATGAACAGATTTTTACTGTATGCGGACCGATCACAGTTACCTTGGTGCAGAATTAAAAAAAAAACTCTTCTGAGTCAGGAAAAAACCTTGAAAAGCTCCATATAGAAACACAGAACTATGTGCAGCAGTGCTTAAAATTAATTTCAACTTATCTTGGCTCACCACATGAGGCGAGCTGCAGTCTTTAGTCTGGTGCTTGCCTCTCATGATTTAGAGGTATTCACTTTGTGGAACAGTGCAAAGTTATCAGAAAGCCTGAATTCACTTCTATTAAAATGTGATTACATAGTCGCAGTGTATGGCATCGGAGTGTGCTTTATTTGAGCCACTGAGCTGGGATTAAATGACGTCTTTAGCGCTCACCTGTAGAAAGCGTGGGTCTCTGTGATGGCCCGGTACAGCCCGTTGGCTGCTCGGTTACTGATTAGCTTGAACAAAAGAACCACGCTATCATTTGTGTCCTTGGTGACTGTCAGGTAGACACTCTTCCCCGACTGGGTGGCAATCTGGATGATGGGGTAGCTTATCCTAAAATGACAGAAAAATATGTTACATACTGAATACTGTTAAAGAGAGACATGCAAAAAGTTCTCGACACCTCTTGGTGTTACTTTCAAGAAGCAAACACACCTATTACTACATCTAGGTGGAGCGTACCTGTTTACTAAGCTGAAGTCCTCCTTGCAAATGGCGATGCCCTCAGGGCCGACTCCGATGGCCAAGCGCTGACCGCCTGCATCGCGGGCCCAGTGCCACTCCACGCCGTAGTGCTCCAGAGAGGAGACCAGCTGCAGCGCCTGATACTCCACTGAGCCCTGGCTCATACCATCCAGAGCTTTGTGCCTGGAAATGATGCTGTAGAGGAAATGGAGAGGAAGACGGCTGTAGTTTAACCAGGCTCAGATTGGAAATGACGCAAAGGTTATCACGCAGATGATCTTACATGAAGAACCGCCTACATCGATGGGTGTATTACACAAGCCGTGCAAGACTAGAGTGTGTTTTATCTGTCAAAGTGAAACGCAGCTTTTCTGACAGCTTTCCTTATGAGACCAGTGCTTAGGCAGCATAGAGGGATGCTTCTGCAGACTGTGGTTGGAAATGCATAATGACACATGTACACTGTGTTGATCCACAGTTGGAAGAATGTTCTGTGAAATTTATAGAGAGCAAATACTGGGAAATGCATGGACTTGCAAAAATGCCAGACATTTGTTTAACTGTCTGCGGTTAGAAATCCTATCGTAGCTCAGAGCAGCAGGATTTAGTGATTTGGAGGCTGCAGACAAACTCTGTCTTATTTGATTTTCACCGTTTCTGAATGTTGGTGGTTGAAGAAGTACTTCCAACAGTTTTCTTTACTAAATTATTTAAAATCACACAATAAAAATACTCTCAAAGTCCTGCGCTAATTTAATACTCAAAAGCAAAGAGGGAAACCGGTTTTATCGACACAATGTGCTGACATTTACTTAATATCTGTTCAAGGTGGAGCTTTTAATTCTGATATAATGTTGGATAGTCTAATGACACATGGTGGAATATTTGATTTTGTGAGTACAACCCTGACCTTGTCCACAGTGCTCTGATCATTCATCAAGACATAATTAGTAGACAGTACGTATGAGAAAATAAAGCATTTATTATTCTGTTCTTAACTTGTTCTGTTTTTTTCTCTTTAAAAAGCAAAAACAAAAAAGCACTGATAACAATACTGCTGAAGTACCCGACCGATAAGCAGCATTGGTCAAAGCGATAGAACCGTTAAATTGTTAAAGAAATCCATTCCTCGGTAAGATACAGTTTCATACGCTCAACAACTGGTAGCAACATGAAAGACTGCACAAGTAACGGAGGCAAGAGGGAAGGGACGTGGCGTTCACACTTGCTTGTCAAACTGTCAGATGTATGGTAATGCCAGGAGTCACAGCCTTTAAAAGTTGCTGTAGTAGTAAAATTCTGTCACCCTGGTTGTGTTTGGGGAGATGTACAGTGGGAGGTTATGTCAGAGGAACTCTGCAAACACAAGCTATCTAATCTCCTGATAAGCGTGGGTGTATTAGCTCTCACACTGCTACGTGGCTGTGTGTGATGCACTCTTATCTAAAAAGTTACTCCAACTGAGAAGCAAACTGCTGTAAAATAATAATAAAAAAAAAGACAGCACATCAGTCCAACTGTGTGTCGCAGTTTTTGCTTAAAACAGCATTTTGAGTTTCCTAAAATACTTTTTATTATTTTCCTTGAAGACCGGCGGCTGCATTATGTCATCCTTGGCTAGTTGCCATGAGCTAATATTTACTTTTCATCAAGTCGTTTGAGGTGGATTCTTACCTCCCTCTAAATAGTGAGAGGGCAGAAGTTGAGGAGGGCTGACACAGAGAAAGGTCAGCGGGTTTCTGTGACTGTCCAATTAGATCGTTTGTGGTAATTTGCATGCTTCAAGGCTATTCGATTCCAGTTTTCTTGACATCCATAGTCATAATTTCAGGTGAGAGTAATGCCAACTACTTAGGAATGCTAAAGCAGTGAATACATTTCCCCAGAGGGTGCAGCATTTTGACTTAAAGCTGTTCTTGAAGCCTGCTGTGGTGTGTGTGAGTGTTGTACCTGTTGATCGTGGCAGTGCTGGGCTCCTCTCCACACAGCTCTGAATACCAGTACTGGGCTGTGTTTTGGTTGTAGTCACCAAACTCTGCCTGTGCCAGGAGTGCACTCAGCTCCTCTGCTTGCTCCGAGCCCATACGCAGGTGACCGTTGTGGAGGTCCTCCTTCACGTGCATGAAGAAGATGTGTCTGTTGGAAAGAACGAGGAAACAAGGGATGAAAATCTGACATTCTCATCTAGTGGACCTGTGTTTAAAGTAACAAACGAAGACAGATTCTTTGTTTACATTTGTCTTCCCTGATTAAAAAAAAAAAAAAAAGCAACAAATGAGCAACTTTCGAGGCACAAAACACTTCCATGTGTGATGGAGTTTGGACCTACAGCAGGTGGTCACTGCAAGGCTTGAATTTCACACAGCAGGTGTTTGTGTGCAGCAGAAGGAGAAGCAACTGACATTTGTTCAGCAGCTACAATGACTCTATTGCAGCCTCTTCCGCCACAGCCACTATTAGAACTTCCTTTAAATGACCTCACCGGACGCTGTAAAAGTGGAAATAGAGGAAGGGAAAGAAATTACAGGACTGAATGGCCGCTTTCTCCAGTGTATAATGTACTTGGACTTTTAACCTGTGACTCAGCGGTCAGAGCCAACTGTACGAGTGTCACGTGTTCAGTCCTCCTGTTGACTTAGAGTCTCTTTATACGTGACTTTTTCACCCAAAACAATGCGACCATAATGCCCACATAAAGGCAGTTCCCTTCTACTTGTGCTTTGCCTGATATGAACCATTCTTGCTCAGACTGGGGCGGGTTTTTATGAAGTGACAGTCGGGAAAATAGTTCAAAAGATTAATGGCGGTTATAAACAACAGTTGTTATTGTTTGGGCTGCATGATTAAAAAGGGAACATGGAGTTCTGGTGTGGCCAAGGAAAACAGCTAAAATCTCGAAAAAATAAGCCGTGGCAGGTCTTTCCATTGTTTTGACCAGAAGATGTGAGGAATTCTTTCCTTCTCGCAGCGGGACACAAGACGTCAACAGCAGTAACACCCTGACTGAGACGATCCTTACATCAGGGCCGACGCTGAACTACAGTAACCTCCGCGGAGCCTTCCTTGAGGTGACCTATGGCACAGTAACCTTAAGGAGATTGTAAACCGGCCTGCTTTAAGTCACCTGGTCCTGTTAGGGTTAAACCAGTTGGACAGCTTTCTTCTATTACCGTCTTCGTTTTGCTGCGCGTCACTTTTCTCCCAACACATCCCTCCACATGCAAAGCGACTTCTTACCCCATTTTCTCTCCTTTCACCAAATATTTTTTGCCATCCACATGATGCGGTAGACTAAAAAGCACGCTGCGCCTGAAACTGCTTGTTATTTCAACTAAAGGAAATCTCCCTTGGGCTACAGTTCTCTTTGAAGCGTGAGGCTAAGGGAGACATTTTACATTTGCGCAAATCAGGTCATACCGTGACTTGAGGATATTTGAGAGGGTTTAGAGGGACACTTACAGTGGAGGAGGAAGATAGCACACAGCACTCCTTCCCCTATATGAATCCGCTGTTTTGTTTATGCAGTAAATGCGTGAGGTGCCTCGTGGGAGCTACACAGGAATGATCTGGAGGTGACGTTTCCTGTGTCATCCTATGGGACTGGAAATAAAAAAACAACAACAACAAAAAACCCAGCCTCTTGCAGGAGCAGCCCGCCACCTGACGACAGAATACACTCACACACGTGTAATGCAGCTGCTTCACAATGCAACAACAGACACACCTCATCCGAAACACACACACACACTTCTTCCAAGGAGTATCAACAACGGCAAAAGCAGCTGTATTGCACACAAACAAAGTCGGTCTACACCGCCCCTGTTAAAGCCAGACTGTAACAACGAAGCCCCATAGCTGACTAGCCTCAGGCATAACAAACAGTGCTTTGATATGGTGTTAAACATCCCATTCCCTCCAACACACACACAAACACTGCGCTCCATTGTGTCAGGCCCAGCAGGCATCATGTGATGGAGCGCTGCTAGTTAGCTACCTGCCTGACGCAAACAATAGGGCTGACTTGACTGGGAGTTTACTACAGGTTGCCGACGAAGGGTTATTATAGGGCAAGCCGCGGAGGTTACTGTAGTTCAGACAGGGATTGGCAAGAGGTTAAGATCGGTCACGGCATCGCTGTGCTTGAGGTGCAGTTTATACCTTCACAGCTTCCTTGAGCACAAGTCCCGGCTTGTTGTTGGTTTTGGTTCTGACGAAATCGGAAACACGAGGAGATGTATTGAGTTCAACCTCCGCTTTGTCTGTGAGATCTGTGACAATGTGGGCCATGGTATGCGCTTTTTGCCTCAGAGCTGCTGAGCAAGAAATCAGACTGCGGCATTTCCCGTGTTGTGGGCACCCACATGCATGTAAACAGGTGTGCCTGCTTTGCTGAGCTCAGGGCCAAAACTGCAATTACGATTGAGAAGAAAACATCTATTACAAGCCGTACAGTAGGGCAGGTTAACAGGCCCTGCCACAGAGGTAACTATGGATCAAGAGTAGCTGTTCCTGTCTGACTGCTCCGGGGCCGAGAGGTATCAGATGCACACTCGGCCACCAGCAAAACAACTTGAGACGAGCGACAACATGCAGCCGCTTCACGTGTAGACGGTAGAGAATTCTCCCACTGAGATCCTTGTGAGTCTTAAAACACCAGCTTTGCACAATGAGAACTCCCTACACAACTCCTGCCATGATAACAAATATGTTGCTCAGGTTGTCCAAAAAACTGTCGGTCACGTTTGCTCCAATTAATTACAAAACACATGCACTTCTGCTTGTACTTGCCTGACCTTTACATTAAGCAGATAGCTTTTCAGGCCGCTGTGCCAGGACCAGGCCTTAGTGCTGCCTCAGCACCTGTCAAGGTCCATCCTCCACTCGGGGTGTGGGAGATGCAAGGGTCCATAAATCAACAGCGTTAAGACACATCTCCAAAAAGATCTTAGTCTTTTACAAACCCGTCACGTTTGCACACCAGTAACCAAGGCGACACGAGACAACAGAATGAATAAACGACCCTCACGCGCAAGTAAATGGGTTTCCAGGCAGATGATAGAGAAATTGAGTCACTGTGACTCCTTTTGAGTGTACACTGAATCACAGGACCTAAATCCGTCTCTTGGCATCGTGAGGATTGCATACAGCAGACTCATGAAACCGTTTATCAGCTGCCAAGCCTCTCCTCTGCATGACTCAGTCCTTTTTGATTCACCACATAAAGAACGGGCGCATGATCCTATTCAGACATATGTGCAACTGCATCACAACAGAGTGTAGTGTACTTCTGTCGCAACGCTGCCTCCGCTCCGAGCTGACCCTTACTAACGCTCCGACACACAGACTGAATACCAGGAAGTCTGGGCTGAGACCAAAGTCTCCTGGCCTACTTTTACTGTAATACACCACAATGCTTTGTCCTTCACAGACATATACCCCATAATCAAAGTCTTAAGGGGCTTACTTATTTGCAGTCATAACCCTGCTGTGAATGCTAACAGGTAAAATAAAAGCTATCCGAAACAGCGACTGTGGAGGAGGGAGAGGTCATGTGGGGGGGCTGCAGGAATGTTTGAATCCTTGATTGCCTGGCTGGAATAATTCAATTAAAGCGGGCCTGAACCCAGAGAGAGAATATTTAAAAATAGGCCACTGGTTACGGAGCTGTGCTAAGGGGATGAAATAATTCATGCCTTTCAGCTGATTTCTCCTGCCCATTCTGTGAACCGCTTAAATAAAAACTAAAATACCCCAAGATGCAGCGTTTGTGTGCTCTTTAGCTGCTCAGTGTGGACCCTTAAAAATCAACTTTTAAACGCACTCTGCTGCCACAGAAAAAGCAGGGCGTGCTTTTTCGAGTAAGAGACTCATTACCAAGTCAACTAAACTCCCTCCAGTCTGTTCCACCCAGCTATAAAAACTATTGTCTCATTTTAATGTTTTCTACCCCAACCCAGTGTCCGTTTTCAGCAGCATGCAGAATGTCAGCCGGTTCAGTACACAGCAGAACAAAACGTTCCCACAAACTGAAACCTAACACCTCTGCCTAGAGACTGCGCCTCATCCAGCCAATCATCAGTAGAGTTTCAGACCTCATCGGTTGGACTCTCAACAATGCGGTTTGTAAGCTAGTCAAATAACACACTGCCAGAAGCTATGTGCTGCGAGGTTACTATCTGTCAATGAACTGTAGTTAACTTTGCCCAGCATCTTCTCCCACGTTGTCGGCTGAATGAAAAGAACAGTGGCAATTGTGTTGTTTAGCACAAAGTCACAGAGCGATTGCACTAAATATAACACATGTGCCTTTGCACTGTGGCAAGTTGCACTGAAAAGCCATACAGCAACAAAACAAAGAAGCTGTTTGTGTGCTAAATTCCTTGGGCTACAGACTGGCGCTCTGCACTGGATGGTAAAACGGCGATTATAGTCCAGCATCAATCCTCAGTTCTGGCGCCAAACAAATATAGCAGCTCTGTCATTCCTGGACAAAGGCTAATGTTATGAATTCACCCAAGACAAACCAGACCCAGGTTACTCAAGTGCACAACAAATGCAGAGGATATAAAAACTCACAGGGAAGCTACAAGTGAATAATTACTGTCGGTGGAGCGTGCTGATAAAAACTTTGCTGTGCTTTCGAACACTAGGAGACCCACAGGCGTCTTATGTGATCTTGGGTTTGATCATCCGTGTAGCTTGCCACACACAGCGAGCTGAAAATGAGAACTTGGTGTGTGACCTGAATAAATTACCTCAAATTGTTTTTGTAGAACATTTGGTCGACGAGAAAGCGCATGAATTTTGTCAGAGATGATGCTCCCTTTCTAGTTTCCATGGGAGACCTACTGCTGCAGTTTCACGTCGGAGAAAAGACAAAGCTGAATTGTGCAGGAAATGAGAGTCGAGTTAAGCCAATGCACAAGAACCGTGAGGCTGCTGCAGTTAATCGGTGCTAATTAATGGAAAGAACACGGATACGCTCGTGCAAAGTCAAGTACGTTTTGACATTTTTACCCTGAGTTCTGCCACATTGCATAAGGTTGGAGCCTACAAGACCTTGCACTGCGGGTGAGACAAGGAAACACTCGGATCGATGGGTTGTTATGTAATCGATGGTATTATATAAGAAAGGAGAAACGCTGTCCTGTGAGAGTGATCGATAGAGCAGAGTCCTTAAGGTTAGATGTTTATCATTTTTAGTCTGCAATTGTTTCCAGCGCTGCGTTTCATCACAGAGCAGATTGTTTAGCAAAAACCTGGCATGTTTGTCTTTGAGTGTCTGTCTTTTTTCTTTTGTCACCGTCTCAGAGTGTTAGAAATGTTTTAATATGTAATCGCAGCGGCCTTGTGAATACGTTGTCTGGTGAAAACTACTGACGTTCAGAGGTGTAATGACTAAAATAAGTCTTCTTTAGTTGAATCTCGTTTGGATTTAAGTTAAAGATAAACTTAACCCCAAAGAGGTAAACAGGTTGACAATCGGGACCTCTGACACAGCCTGTGCTAATAGTTGTGCCCTTTGAGGGTATCCAGCATTTGCCTGATCAGAATGCTAACTACGAGGGCTAATGAAGGGGAAACATTCACATATTTAAACCAGAAACACCCCCAAGCAAGTGGTGCTTAATGATGCGGGTAATGCATGCTGTTGTTGAGGCCCTTGGGTCAGTATCCCCCTAACCAATAAAAACACTGTTCTTCCTGTAGTAAAGCAGCAAAAAAACAAACAGATAAGCTGATATGTTAGATGTTATAAAAGCAACTACAACTAAATTATTGGAAGCACCTCGCAGTGCAAAACTATCCCAAACCACAAAAGGTTGGAAAAAGCCCTGCTTCAGTCTTGTGGCGCCTTCAAAGCTGCCCAAAAAACAAAAGCTGAGAGGGGAGAGAAAGCTATTCTCAGAGCCAATTTTATGCATTTGCAAAAAAATGTGTCCTAGGCAAGCTGGGGAAAAAACAGATTTATAAAAAAACAAGCCTGTGAGAGAAGGGCAAATGGAAAATCTCAAAGCAATGAGATTAAACAGGCGTTTTTTTCACCACAGATGCAAGCTAAACTTAAGCCTTGCAGCTCAAATGGATATGGCTGCCCTTTTGGTTGTGAGCATTAAAAAGAACCGTCCAAAAGGTTATATAACTCTTTAAAAAAAAAAAAAAAAAAAAAAAAATTGCAGACCATACAACTGTAGAGCTGTATAGGAGCAGTCGATTCTTTGGTTTAAATACTACAAAAATGTGGTTTTCCCATCTGGGTATCACTCTTCCCAGCACAAGAAGACCACAGTAATGTAGCCAAACAGTCGGCTGCATGTGAGCGTGAACACTGGAGTGACCTGCTCGGCTTTGCGTGGCAGCAGAGTACACAGCGGCTTATTTAAGCAGCTCTGTGCGGGTTCAGCAGGTTACGTAATAAGGCCTATAAGAAGGGGCGTAGAGGCAGGGGCCAACCCCTCGGCTCATCTGAGGGAATCCAAACCTAGCAGAGAACATTCGCTCCAGCTCACATGTGCGCCTGCTACGTACCGAGTTATGGAACAAATGAAGACAGGCTGTACATTTTCTGCAGAACTGGCCATCTCTGTTCCCCAGACAGATTATGAAAGTGGCCCGCAGACGGGTGAATGATGCAAATGTGCAGTAGAAGAAGGTTTCGAGGCATGATGAGGTGTGTCTACTTGCTGATCTGTGTCTGCAGTAGAGCGTGGAGGCTGTGTTAGCTTAACTAGGTCAAAGGTGACAGCATGAGAAATGACTGAAATTAGGCCCCAGCAAGTCTTTAAATCACTAATTTGCTGAAATTCTGAACATATTCCGTAAAAGTCAAGGCAGACGTTTTAAATCCAAGCTTAAAATCAAACAAAAAACCCCTCTTTACTGCTACCTTTATTCATAAAAACAAACCAGGATAGTATTTCAAAGACATGGCATGCCTCCCAATGGAGGAATTTCAGAGCTCTTTGTTGCTGCTGTGCCATCAACATCTTCTCCTCACCTCTGAAGTTGATGCCGGTGTTTGCACCCTCACCGCTCTAATTATATCACATCTGAGCAGATGGATGAGCCAAAATTAAACACATAGCTTGACAGCACAGTGTGTGTGTGTGCCACGTGTCAGTATTACCAGCAACCCCACATACCATCGCCTGCCATCACACATCTTTATCTCAACTTTTTTTTTCCCCCCCTCACAACCCCGTGGCCCCCCACCTTCCACACACCCGACGCCAGCCATCTGCTGATAACCCCTGCTAATTAAGTGGAGGTCAGAGCGCAGGCAGCCAAGTGTCCTCCATGCTATCTCTCTCGCTCTCTGTCTCTGCCCCCACTCCTTTCACTTTCCTCTTCAAAGGTTGCCACCAAATATGGGCCACAGTCGGGGGAGGTTGAGAATAGGAGGGAGGTGGCGGGTGAGAAGCAGACAGAGAGGAAGTGTGAGAAGGCACAGTTTATATCTAACAGACAACAAAAGAGCAAAGTTGATATCTTCATGCTGGATGGAGCACAGTGAAGAGGGGAGGAAGGAGGGGACAGCTGAAGGTGGGTCAGTGGGTAGCAGCTGAGAGCGTGCTGGTCTGCCAGGAAATTTGGCCAAGGCAAATACATCTGAGTTTAATTTACAGTTCTAGTTACGTGCTGCTGGACGTGTGAGTGTGTGAGCGAGGACGAGAGCAGCGTGGTGGATCTTTAAAAAGACACCAAACAGGTTTCCCACTCAACGTGTGCCCTTGATCCACATCCACGCTTCCAGTCCTGCAATATTAAACAATGGAGACCCCGCCTGAGGTGAATATCACATCCACGGGATCGCACTTTGTCTAGCGTTTGGGACTGGTTCCAAGGGCCGCAAATGCAGTTTCTATTTATAAGTTCAAACAGAATTGGGGCAGATGAATACTGAGTCAGGATCTAGACTTGTCAGGGCTTGCTGCTTTGTTCTGACTAGGAGTCTTGTTGAAGTGAATCTGGCAGACTGGACAGATAGTTGGTTGAGATGGCGATCCAACATGTTATTTACTGTGGCAGGTTTTCTGCTTGCTACCGTGCATCCAAAATGAAAGTCATCATATGTCGGATAAACAAAAATGCCCACTAAATCTATATCCGGAGACTATCGCAATCACTATGAAACAGCTGCAATCGTGACTCACAATGATGCCATATTTCCGTGGAAACAAAAACCTGCGAGAAAAAAGAACACCCTTGCGCTGGCCTGTTTCCAAACCGCATCTGCAGAAATGTCAAACGCGGGGCTTTTGTTCAAACAAAAATGGCCACAAACAATTGGAACAAAAAGTTATTTTCAGTTGAATGGGAGCAGTGACAAGAGGTCCTGGCTGTCGCACAGAGGGTCCGTGGGGGCAGGCCTCAGAGCGACACATAGCCCCAGAGCTGCTGGATCACATTTCCTGCCTGGCGCTCCACCAGAATGACCTGTAGTAACCCCGGAAGGGTTTGGGGAAGAGGTTACTACAGGGCATTCTCACTGCCTTGGAAACAAAGTGATCAGATTATGATCTGCTCACTCATTACTGATGGCTTCATTCTTTCACGCACATGTTGCCTATCACTCGTCACATGGAGTCGTAAGTAAATATCAGTGTATCAGTATAAAAACAAGACTAGATGTTATTTTGCGGCGAGGGTGAGAGGCCAATTTCAAGATAGAGAAGGTGTCATAAAGGAAGTAGTTAAATATAATGATATCTGTTCACATGAACAAATGTCAGCGGCGCATGCATCGTCTGTGCAGCACGTGAGCTGGTAAACACACCTCGTCTGTTCCTGCAGAATGAGATGGGGCTCCACAAAGAACTTGACCCGCAGCCTCAGCCGACAGGGCGTCACATTATCCATCTGCTGGCAGATGCGATTCCTCAGATTCAGCCACAGGTTCTCGCCTTTGCTGCCTGTGAACTGCAGCCCAAAGTAGTCCACTTCAATTACACCCAACTTTCTGCAAACCTGGAGAGAGATGAAAGAAATGGGTCACCAAAAGTGGAATTTAGACAAAGCAATTTAAAAAGGATTCTAAACTAACCGTGCGGAAAAGCATATTAAGAGACACATCAAATCATTTGGACAGTTATTATAAAAGCTGCCTGCAAAACGTGACTTTTTTTTTTTAAAAAGCAGTAAGAACGGCCACGTGACTGGCAGCAAGTCAAGATGTGCTTTAATGAGACAAACTTTAATAAAGGAATTCCCTACTAGGAGGCTTTCACAAGACTTTCTGCACAGTGAAGAGTGTTTATTCTATTTTTAACCACCTCAGAGACATGTTTCATTTAGATGTTTACTTTATGCGGTCATAAATTCACAATTGTTTCAGTTCATGCAGCCATTAAAGTAATTAAAATGTAATAAATAAGATTATTAAGGTGCTGCACTGATTAAAAAAACAAACAAAAAAACAGTTGAATTGGTTTAATGTAATACTCTTTAGGTACAGTTTTATTTTAATGCAATGTGACAAGAGTTTGGTTCACAGCATGGCATAATGAGTCAGAGCCAACATGGGCGCAGAGGAAAGACACAAGGCCCCAATATAACCTTGTTTTGCACATAGTCCAAGAGGTGTAAATGATAATTATATTTCATTTGTTTAATATTGTGTGCAGTGTTTGCTGCAGTGACTTTACATATATTGAAAAAGACTGACATTGCCACATTTTGTTTTTTTCTGTCATACATAGTGCAGTGTGAGAAAAAGAAAATACAGGAACATACATTGAATAATTATTGGGGGAAGAAAAACAATTGTGCTAAAGCAATTAGCTGGATTTTGTAGGGGAGGGCCTCAGCATAGAAAACAACAAATTAACTTTAAAAAATAGCTAATTGGAACCTTTCTCATATGGTGACAAAGAGGAAAACAGTGTTCTGCTTTGGATAGCATTCAGATCTGGCTGTGCAGTCATCATAAGGAGCTTTGTGGTGCCCATTTAAATGAGCAAACAAATTAGTCTTGTTGTCTGATGTGATGACAACATGTGCAAGACAGTAGCTTCTTTTTTTTTTTTGCAATTTCTCTGGCTGAAATATTTCCATACACACTGATGTTTCTTTTTGCAACCTGATCTTTCTTTTCTTGTGTTCCTCACTCATTCTGCTGCACACACGTGGTGCCTGCATGTCAACAAACTCTGTCTTTTGTATACTGAAAAAAATATTTGTGCTTCCAAGAACCCATTAAAGTAAATGGGCTTTTCTTGTAGATTAGTAATGGAGAAAGAGAAGGGTTTCCTTATTGCAGCACGGTGTGTTGACTTAATGCACTCCCTGCCATGTGACTACTGCACATCACAGCCTCGTCTTAGTCGCTTTATAGTTTTCACGGTGATAAGAGAGAGACAGACTACTTCTGCTGCTCATCCAGTGGTTCCTCCACACGCATACGCGAAACCCATTAATATTCTAAAGCTCACGATCGCTTGGAAGTGAACTTGGGAGGCTCTCCAGGGGTAAAGGGGGCTCATCAACCCCGCAATCCCACGCCCCCTCAGCGGCAGCGGCCATGGGTTCTTACATAACCGCTGGTCTGCAGGGAGCCCGGAGGCTGAGATAAAACTCATTCATACCCGCGGCAAGTCGAGAATATATGCAATGCATACGAATTAGCCTTATATTAAAAGAAAAAAATACAAGAAAAAGTTCCTTTGCTGCCATGTGGAGGGGAAAGAGGGGGGAGATCACAAGTTAGTGAAGTTTCTGTTTGAGTGGAGCAGCTGGTTGAGCGCACCAGAATGAACTCTAGTAACCTGGACAAAGCCATCTGCCTCTCAGTGAGCCGTGCAGGTAGAGGTGGCCGTCGGCAGTTTTTCTACCAAACTTTGCTGCGTGAATATCAAGTCAGATTCCCACCGTGAATCCGGGTCCGTTTCTTTTCTGCGAGCAGAACATTTTGTTTCCTCAGTTTTTTTTAATGTGCAACTGTAAAATGGTACTTTAGTTGCTGCTGCTCACGAAAGACGCTCACATCAAACATCGCTTGATAAAATGCAACCAAACCGGCTTCTTATTTGGTACAATATCTGAGAGATTTGAAAGTTTCTCGCTGCGTTTCTAAAGTACAATAATAAAAAAAAAACGTGATGCGCGCTGATCCTACCTTATTGAGACAGTCTTCACCGTTCGCCTTCGCATCAACTTCCACTTCCATCACCACCGAATCTGGACGGGTAACGTGGCAAAGCATTTTGGCTGCTGTGAATCTTTGGTGTGCCACTCTGTAAATACAACCAAAAACAGTTCTCGAGCCTTCCTGGGAGAAAAACAAAAAAACACACTCAAGCCTTCATCACTTTCTTATCCTCCTTTCACTCCGTGTGGCGAATCTGTAGCCACCAGCTGTAGGGTATATCAATGAAATGCCATGCACAGCACCGCCTATCTGCAGCAGACCAATCACACGCGCTTTAATATCCCCGCAGCGATTTCTTTTAACCAATCAGAAGTCGCGTTACATGCGCGCACTGTTCTGGCTCGAGCTCACCTCCTCGTGCCTTGAAGTGTGAGAAGTCCGCTGCGCCCTCGTCTGGCTCGCCTGTTGCACGCATGGAGGAGAAAAAAAACTCACCTGCTCCTAATGAATTAGACATTCCCAACTCCAGCACATCTCAGGGTGAGTTTAATGGCTTGTATAAGGTTTTTTCTTCTTTTTTGGGTGAATAATGTATGGGAATACAGTCCAAAAATAGCTGCTATAACGGGGAAACGTTCCGCCTCGCTAGTTCTCTGTCCAAAGCTTTCATGAATTTTTCATCTTCGGGACCTTCGTTGTTTTCAACTCACTTCCACTTTTTTGTTTGTGAGGTATAACAATGTTGCTTGCGTAACAGTTGAGTTTTTGATAAACCTTTTATTTCATGTCAAAGTGGGGGCACATTTCTGGAGCATATAACCCTATTTACAATCATTTTTACGCAGACACCTAAAGTAGTGCCTTATGGCGTGTTTCCTGCCTCGCTAGCGTAGACTGGATATACAATTTATACAGCTACAGTCTATGCTTGCTGGTGTCTTTTCGTGACCCCTTCTCCCAACCAGAGAGTCTTAATAATTCAATATTTATTCTGCCTCATCACCTTCACAACACCTACTACTTTATGATATATTATTCAGCAGCAAAGTGTGGTGATTTCCACAGTGGGAGACAGGCCAGACCAAAAAGACACAGCAGAGAACTAACTGCAGCTTACACCTAAACCAGGGAGGCATGATGTCGGGCCAGGCTCTGTGTTTGTCTTGCCAGGGGACATTTCAGAGTCGAGGCAGCGTGACTCTCCGTAGTTCTGTTCTCTCCCACAACTGCATTCCTGATGTACCATCAGTGACTCAGATGCAGCTGGAGGAGATCCAGGAGGAGCTCCTAAACACATTAACTCACTCCCATTGTCCAGTGAAGCATTTACTAACAATAAATGTGACAATAAGATTCTGTTTTACAGGACACCTTGCACCTGCTTCACTCTTTATCTGGATTTCCTGATCGAGATGAAACAGAATGGTGATAAGAGCTTTAAAAACTCTTTGATTTAAATGAGACAAATTAGATTACTGAAACATCCATCATCTATACACCGCTTAATCCTCACTATGGTCATGGGGGCTGGAGTCTATCCCAGCTGACTTAGGGTGAAGGCAGGGGACACCCTGGACAGGTCACCAGTCTATCACAGGGCTACCTTAGAGACAGACAACCAAGCACACTCACATTCACACCTATGGACAATTTAGAATCACCAATTAACCTCAACATGTTTTTGGACCTTGTGGGAGGAAGCTGGAGAACCTGGAGAACATGGAGACTCCACGCAGAAAGATCCCGGGTGTCCTCACCAGGACGCGAACCAGCAACGTTCTAGCTGCGAGGCAACAGTGCTACCAACCAAAATTACTGAAACAGTTGACATTTAATTTAAGGTAAGATTAACCCAATTGATGCCCCTCTGGAGAAATTCATAAGTTATAGCAGCCAGATGAAGAACTAAGCATCATGAACAAGACAAAAAATGCAAAAGTAGAATTTGAGATAAAAATATGGATAATATTAGACTATGTACAAATTTTACATGTGCTGATTTGGCATGATGGACAGTTAGACCCAAATTGTAGGACGGACATTGGGTGTAGAATTGTACATAGATGTCATAAAGATAACTTAGTATTGCACTTGAGAAGTTACGAAACTAGAAACAGTATTAGATTATAGTGTTGTACTTGAAGAGCTATAAAAAGAACAGCGTTACATTGCAGGTGTACCACAGACTACGCTTTCTAGGTTATCGTGTATTAGTTGGGTTGTGTGCTAAATTGTGGATCACCACTCGTATCAGAATGTGAAATGTGAGTAGATATTCTCGTATCAGACATGATTCAGTTTCCCTCCGCCACATAGCTATGCAGCTTCCTACACACAGTTGTACCACATGTGTGTGTGTGTCTCTCTGTGTGTGATTAGGTCGGCCAGCCGGGCGAGGACACTGCCCAGTGTCCTTTTGCCCCCGAGTGATGTAAGAAAGTGTACAGTGAATGAGACGTGAAGTCCGAGCAGCCACCGCGACCATAAATGGAGCAAGATAGTGAGTGACATAACATCCACTGTCGACGTGGGATTCGAGGCACACGCTGAGCAGGCAGCGCACACACAGACATACACTCATGTACCCTATTACCACACATAAAGTCACCAGCAGGTACACAGCGTGGAGTCAGCGCCAGTCTCTGTGGGAGTTTGTCTTTCAAATTTTCTCTCTCCATCCCATAGCCCTTCAAAATGAAGCAAATGCAAGTGAAAGCAGTTTGGCACATAAAGACCTATTTGTGGTAAACTGAAAAGCATCTGCTGCAGCCAACAGTGGTTTTAGTCACTATATTCTCCTGTTTCCTTTTTTTGTATCTTATTTATTAGCTAATAGAAACACTGCTGTTTTCAGATGTATGTTGTTCTTACAGATTTGGGGATTTGTACTTGGTGCATCATGGTACTAAAAAATAAATGACATTATTTGTACAAACTAGTAAATAAACACTATTCTCCAATGCACATCAATACAACAGTAACACACAGGGCAACAGTTTAATTTATTAAGTCTCCTATTTTGCACATCTAGGTCAATTTTGAGGGAAGGGCATTGCTTTTTTTTTTTTTTTTTTGCCATCTGGGCTGTTGCACAAACACAGACCATTTGCAGCGTCGTGGTTCGCGGCTAGGTATGACATCATGCAATGTGACATCACTTCCCTCTGAGGCAAGTCACCGCTCACTCGACTGGAGCGTAAACACATAGCCATGCAAGGGTTTCTGTGTGTGTGCGACTGCGAGTGGTGTGTGTGTGCATGTGGGCATGTGACATCACGGCGTCATCACTGCCCAACTCCGTAGCCCAAGCTGTGTGAAGCAGAGATTATGTCAGAAAGTGCCATGCTAGCAGAGCTGCTGCGGCTGTTGTTGTTTTGATAGCCTTGATTACGTCCCTTCATTTATTCCAATCTATCGGTGTTAACGCTGAGAAGAGAGCAGCGCCGGGCAGCTGACAGATTAAGGAAAAGGAGTGGAATTGTTTGGCAAAGTATGAGGAGAGGCCAGAGGGCGAGCAGCTCCTCTGAGTCTGAAGAGAATCACCGGCCATGGTCAACGGATTCAAAGGAGCCGTCGTCGCCAAGTAGATGCTCGTCCGATGAAGATTCTCTGTCAGTTTCGGATGTGGAGGCAGAAAGTGCAATGAAGAGGAGTCAGAGATTCAGCAGCTCCTTCAGCTTTGAGGAAGATGAGCAGCTACAGTCAAATAATGAGGGCAGAGAAGAAGAGCTGTCACCAAAGAACTCTAATGGAGTATCCGTCACGGAGGCGGTGGAGGCAGAATTAGCAGCAGAATGCATGCGAATGGAGAAAAAGGACACTTTTTGTGACACAACTCAACCAAGGTCAGGTCTATTCAGGCCCCAGGAATTATGGCTGGCAATGACGCGATGTCTCTCTCTCCGATGGCCTCCCTGTCTATCCATTAACAGACAAAGTAACAGGAAATTAGCCTACCAAGTGGACCTTGACCAATCGGAGGACACTCAGTCATCTGTCAGCTCTGACTCAACCAATGAGAGTTCTTCAAGCACATCTACCTCAGAAGATAAAGATGCGTCACTGGTGAAACATGAGGAAGAGAAAGTCAGAAGCAAAGGGGTTAAAAGTCGTCCACTCACTCGTCGAGGGGTTTCTTGCTCTTCCCCCAGGTTACCGAGAACCAGACAAGTTACAGACTCGGTGCTAGCTTCAATGCTACTGGAGAAAGAGATGTTCCTGAGGATTGAGCTGGTAGATTCAGGCGAGGAGAGGGATGATTTACGCTACCGAGCAGAATGGAAGTTGTCAGAGAGAACTAAGGAACTGGCAGAGGGAGTGTGGCTCTCTCGGAGCCAAAAAACGATGGATTGAGCCGTTAAGTTAGAGGTTTGGTTGCCGTGGATGGGGTAGACTTTTTACCATGCACCCATCAAGTTAGGTTGGTTGTTGCAAGCGTCAGTAGGTTGGCCATTATCATCATCTAATCTGTGACGTGACTGCTGATTAGAAATGGCCTAGATATCAGTGAATAATCAGCAGGATTGGTTTTGCATGATGGCTGTGTAAACCACTGTGTGCTGATACAAACTGTGCTGATACAAATGCAGTGGCTGTAGCTAACTAATTAGAGATGCTATTTTCAGAAACGCAGCGCTGCACAGTTAGTGTTAATGTTTATTTTTCCGCCTTTCTGGGTCTCTCAGAGTACATTTTACACATGGCTGGCTCCATGCGTGGGAGGCAAGAGAGATCTAATAGAATATGTTGTGCATTTATGAATAAAAGCCTTTTTTTGTGACATGGATTTTATTTTTTGACAAATCTGTCATAAATACATGTAAATTATGTGTAATGAAAACAGAGTACATTGTTAGTCATGCTACGATTTTGAAAATAGGATTTAAAGTGTAGATCAGAATGGTGAAGCAATATGTTTGTATTAAGATACCAACAAAATTGAGCCCAGATTACAGTCTAAACCCAAATGCAGTTTTCATGGTCAGTATGTGCCAGCAGTGTTTAGTAAATCCCACAGAGGTTTTAATTGATTTGTATTTTAAAGGTCTCCGGGAATGAGCTGACTCTCTTTGATGTCTTAGTTGCGTGAGTACGGAGTAAGAACATGACGGGAATTATTTAAATTTAGTTCAAGACGTCTGTCGGAGTAACCTCATTCCCTAAGTGCTTTTTACCAGTCTCGCAGCTGAAGAGAATTAGAGAGTGAGGGGTTTATCAAAGCTTCCATTACAACATTGTGAGACAAAAGAA